GTAATAATTAAAATTATTTTTTAAATTCATATAACTTCTTAAATATTCATCCTAAATATTAACTATTTTATATCAATTTGTAGTTCATGTTACGATCTATAACTTTACTTAGAATATCAACAAATATTTACTTGAACTCAAACTGAACTTTTGGTCAGGTTTGAGTTAAGGATGCTTGCCTAAATCTATGTTGATAGAAATCTCTCAAACTTAATTATAACTCCGTGAAACACAATTAAATTCTCTGCTACTGTTAATTTTAATCTTTTAAGGATTGTGATTTCTTTTTCCAGTGAAAAGAAGCAAAAGATAGTTGAAAAATATAATCCACTTGGAGAAAGACCTATTATTCATAGTAAAAATAAACAGGTTGAAAGTGGAGAAGAAGATAATGTCATCCTCGTTGAAGGTGATAACATGGAAGAAGCAGGTCCATCTAACAACCCGAAATGGATTTAGCAATATTCTACAGGACATGAACTAATTACAGCAGGCATTTATAATATGCTATCAATGTGGCATTGCGCTGCGTCGAAAAAGCCATAGTGGAAGAAGAAGCCATCCACAGAAGTCTTTTATAAAGGTCATTGTAGATTGGCTTTATGGATCCAGCTGAGGGGTAATTATAATAAAAGCTCTTATTTTTGCGAAACTTTGACTCTTAATATTCAAGCAACATTTCTAACAATCCTTAATATTCAAGTAACATTCTAACAACCCTTAATTGGTTATATCAAATTATTATTAATTATTCCCTTCATTTTTCGTGCTCGGGGATTAAGAAATTTAGTTTCATCGATTTAAATCTACACAAATTTAATTGATTCACTACCAACGATTTAAAGGAAAGTTTATTTAGTGTTTAGCAATAATTATAAGCATTACGAGTGAAATGGGAGCTTTGGGAAGAATAAATAAACTAAATTACAAGTTAACACAATTTTCGAACATTTTATGAGGGAAAGGGAAAGGGAAATTGGTACAATAAATGGTAAATTTTTGAGTTTACGGGTATAATAAAATAGAATCACGTCATTCAACCAAAGAATATTCGGACTGTTCCTTGCTTAGATTCTCGACACACACAGCATTTCGTTACTGCTTTTGAGCACCTTTCACAAGTCACGAAATGCTTACAAGGAAGTATGGCATGAGTTATTGTTCCAGCATAGCAAACCCGACATTTGACATTTGAATTGAGATTTTCTTCTTGAAGACTTTCGACTTGTTGCCGGAGCGTGGCAATCTTTTCTTTGAATTCTTGAATATCGGTCGCGAGTTCGTCATTTTTCTTTTGACACGATTGGCGAAGTCGTTGTTCAACCTCTTTTATGTTTAGGATTTGTGAACAATGCTTTCTCAAAAGCCGATTCTCTTGATCGATTTGCGATTCATGTCGATTCACATCATCGAATTTGTCTTGCAAGGCCAAGATTTTAGATTCCAATTCATTAATTGCCTTACGAAGCTTCTCGTTTTCTGCTACAAGTTGCTCATATTTATCAAATGTGTGGAATTGGAGCTCTTTATTTATGAAAGCCGGCGTTGTCTGAGAAAACGTGTTGTATGATGCCAGGATAATTGACTGTGGTTCCATGAATATGGAATTACCGTCAAAATCGTTTTCACTCTGCTTTTGATCCACTTTACTATTTAATTTGTTGATGTTGGATGATGATGTCGCAGCTTGCTCTCGATCAAATACAGGTTCATTGTTAATAGCGACCGAGATTTGATCAACCAATGACGAATCGTTTGCTGTAGATGTTTCACCAATTTTTTGTGGATTGGCAAGTGATGAGTTGGTGTTGTTGGTGTTGTTGGTGGTGGTGGTGGTGGTGGTGGTGATGGTGGTGTCTGTTGATCTTTCATCAATATTTTTTTCTGGTACTGCCTCCAACAGTCTAGTCGCCTTCGTGGTAATTAGCGGGTGTGAGCAGAAATCAGTCATATCAAAAGGAACTTGCTCAGCATACAGATGCCAAGTACACTTTGGTCGGGCGCCACTGATGTGATAATTGGCACAACAGAACATGAGTTTGCAGCTTTCTTTTGCAGTTCGCAGTACTACAGGCATTCCACAAAAACAATTGGGAGCGGGAGGATGGCGCTTCGGATAGCGATTGTCGATACGAAATACTATACAAACCGTAAAATTGAAAAAGGGACAGATTGATAATTCCTCGTCGTGTGAAAATACATGCCCCGTTCGCGTTAATCTATCCCATATTTTATCCCATGGCTTTTTGTGAACGTGGAACCCACATATCCCATTTGAGCAGCCAGAACTGAGAGAGCATGTATGAAGAATGCTGGACGAATCGGCTTCGACTTTTGCTCCTTCCTCCTAAAATTATAATTGAATTGTTTAAATGTTTATAAAAAATAACTCGCAAAAATGTTCCTTTAAAGCTTACCCCTTTATTAGAACAGTCGTGGTTACTTTCTCTGATTTGCTGGTCTACTACCTTTTGCCACGGGTTAGCGTGGCGGTAATGACATTCATACAGTAGACCAAATTCCTCCGAGTATACCGACGAGGCCGGGACATTACAAAAACAGTTCGGCAATTCAATAGCTAGCCTGGCTCGTTCCATTTTTGAATATTGCTAATTTCGATTAGAGAAAAGTCGTGTTGTAGAAAAATCCCGATTAAGATCATAAATTTTAATCTAATGTTGAAATATTTATACTAAGGGTTAAATAAAATCTAATTAATTAAAGATATTTGCATGCTTTTATCTTAAATGTAATGTTAAAATAAATTTTTTTCAATTAATTATTCCAAATCGATTTGAAAATTCTTTTAAAAATAATTTATGTTTTAATATTTTTATATTCTTTCTCTTTATAAGAATATCTATTAGACTTTATATTTGTAATAATTATTATTTGTAACAATCACATTTTAATTGGCTAATTAGGATTTGAGTTAGGATTAAAGTTAAGATTCTGAATATGATTGGATAATATTGAAAAATATTGTTTTATAAGAATATTTTAACTATCAAGTATAAAATTTATAAGTTATTTAGTTTAAATTTTATTTATATAAAAATTTAATATATAAGTATATTAATTAATTAAAATAAATATATTGTTGTATAATGACCTTTCATCATAATATTTTATTATTGGATTATAAATATCTCATATATTATTGGATAAAG